TGTTGGTTTTTTTTTTTCTTTTAAGTACTTCTTAGAATAAATGAAATAGGGTACTCTAAGAATGTTTATATAGTTTTTCTTATTGTGAGATAGTATACTAATACTTTGGAACCCTAGCAACTCATCTGGGAAATCTGCGGCTTTCAATCCACAGCTATACTTGTTTGTTTTGTTAGATTTGCTAATTTTTTCTGCGTCTGAGCTTAATTTGGTGTTTCTTAAAGCACAGTACACGTGTCACTGGTAGTATATAAAATTATTTTTAGGAATGTTGTGAGCTAAGTCTATTTGAGCATTCGCCTGTGTTAATTCCTTTGGTGATTACCTGTAGCCTCTGACAGTTTGAGGTGCACACTTCCCTCCCCACACCCTTGCTCCCTGTTGTGTTAGTTTACAAAGCAAGTCATAGAATGAATTCTGCTGCACACATTACCAAGTAAGTATAAAAGCAGCCATTGCAATTCTTCCCGTAAGAATAGTAAAGTCCCTACTCTGTGTCCTTTTTAGGCATTTCAACAAGCACCTTCCATGAAAGATTAACTCCAAATATAACAGTGTTCTGGCAGAGAGATCAGTTAACATAATGGGGTCAGGCTGCAGAATCCTTCACCGAGGGCTGCAGAGGCAAATGACATTCTGTACTGGGCCACTGTTCCGAATGTGTTTGGCTGCCGAGGTAGCCAGATTTTTATTTCCTATTTATGCAAAGACCTCTAGCTAACCACATAGTTTAAATGTCACTCATCTTACCGTGAAAAAATATTTCCAGCATCCCTTATGCTAATTAATGAGCCCTCTGATACAGATTTAGATAGTGATATTTGAAGTGCTTGTCGTCTTAGTTGTCGTGAATGTGGGTCGCCGATGGGGTATTTAATATATTAACTAACTGCCTCCTTCTTCCACTGTTGATGCTGAAGTCTTTTAAAGTTTAATTACAGTGTAGCAAGATAGAATGTGGATGAAATTTTCTCATTTTAATGTTGTGTGTTAGAAAAAGTATAACTTTTCAAAAAACAATAAAAACCTGCAATTTTGCAGATACTGTTTAGGGTGAGGCTATTTAAGTTGCTTTTTTAAATAAAATAACTCTCAAGTATTGATAATAGTACCTGTGGCAGGCACTCAGATGTGGCACAAGTTCAGAGATGTCCAGGAATGACTGACATTTGGAGAACTATCGTTTAGTTTAATGTGTTTTGTTTTGTTCTGGATAGAATTCTGCCATTGACTTCTTTTCTCGCTCAGTTGCCTGTATTGTTAGGGAGTATTGCCCTTATATGACATAAACCAGTTTTCTGCATTTCTTACAAAAATATTAGCCTAAGGGGAAAAAACCTACCTTCTTTATTATATGCAGTTGAAAAAAAGATGTTGCAGAAAAAGATGTTTAAATTTAAATAGCCTTCAGTTTAGAGAGTTTTATGAAATATTTCCTAAATTAATGTGACTGACTTAGGAAATTTTAGACAATGTACCTCAGTGACTATTTCTTTATGCTTAAAGCATTTTCAATAACTACCACCCAATATCTAATGAAATATAAGTAATATGATATTTCAAAAGTATATGGCTTAAGTACATATATATACAGTACACACATTCTAAAAGTAAAATTTATGGCATTTACCTGTGGAAAATATATGTTTTAGCCAGGTGTGATGGCACACATCTATAGTCCCAGCTACTCAGGAGGCTGAGCTGGGGGCAGGGGGTCCCTTGAGGCCAGGAGTGCAAGGCTGCAGTGAGCTCTGATTGTGCCTATGAATAGTCATGGCACCTCCAGCATGGGCAATATACGAGACTCCATCTCCAGAAAAAATGGGGAAAAAGAAAAAACTACATGTTTTATACTTTGTAAATGTATTAAAATCTGTCAAAATTGAGGCTATCTCTCCTTTTAGCCACAGTAGGATGGCAGTTTTAAGACAATAGGGACAATTCTTTTATTCCTAGAGTAGGAAGTACCCAGCGGTGTTTGGTTTTGTACAAATACTTCCAGTTCGCTTCCGCAAGAAGGAGGGTCTCAATATTTCGGTATTTCAGGGCCAAACTGTTTATGTTTACTCCATCTCTGAGGAGAGATGCTAAAGGGATGTTTGCTGTCTGCCTCAGGGCCCCAGCCAACTCCCACCCCACAAGGAAGTTTGCAACCCTTTTTATTACTTTGTCCAGGGCAGAAATTCTAGACCAATGCAGAACTTGCTTACCACATCTAAAACATTCGAGGGCAGGATTTTAATTTTCTTTCTGTCTCTTTTGCTTTTTATTTAATTTTTATTTTTTTGAGACAGAGTCTCACTTTCTTGCCTGGGCTAGAGTGCTGTGGTGTCAGCCTAGCTCACGGCAACCTCAAACTCCTGGGCTCAGGTGATCCTCCTCCCTCAGCCTCCCGAGTAGCTGGGACTACAGCCATGTGCCACCATGCCTGGCTGACTATATATATATGTATATATATGTGTATATATATATTTGTTTTGTTTTAGTTGTTCAGCTAATTTATTTCTATTTTTAGTAGAGACAGGGTCTTGCTCTTACTCAGGCTGGTCTTGAACTCCCGAGCTCAAATGATCCGCCCACCTCGACCTCTCAGAGTGCTAGGATTACAGGCGTGAGCCACCGCACCTGGCCCTGTCTCTTTTATAATTGAAAAATTTCAAACAAACAAAATTTCTAGACAAAGATGGTATTTTAATTATAGAATGTTGAGAGTTGTAATATGGAATTTGCAAGTCTTCTATATTTTTGCCCCGTGTTAGGTTTATACTGTTGATCCACCTTCTGGGAAAGACCACTCTGATCCTTGTAGAACCTTGTTTCAGAATAACAGACAGTAGAAAAATTCTGTAAATCTCATATATCTCATGAGAAGCAAAAACATTTTTAAGATGATGTTTAGAGGGTCCCAGACGACCAAGGAATTTCCTCAAGGGTCTGTTTAACAGGAAATTATAGGGTTTCTTTCATTTGTCATTTAAATCAGAATCTTTAACCTGCCTTTCTCCTGAACAAGTCAGATAGGCAGTTGGACAGTTCCATTTGCAGTGTGGTAATTTGTCTGAATATCAGAATATGGACTCACATTTTAAGTCTTCTTAGAATGCTAGATATAATGAAGATGATCCCAGAATATATTCAGTCAGGGAAAGAATTGTAGAATACTGTTTGATGAAAGCAAGTTGAAATACTACTGGCCCAGACTGATTAAATTCCAATGCACATTTTCCCTCACATCTTTACATATATCATATTAATACCATATCAGTTCTTTTCAAATTATGGTAAAATTCATATAGCATAAAATGAACCCATTTTAAAGTATATAATTCATTGATATTAAATATATTCACTTATAGTGGTGTGCAACCATCACCTGTGTCTAGTTCCAAAACATTTTTATCTACCCAAAAGGAAACCCTGTGCCCATTAAACAGCCATTCCCCATTGCACCTTCCCTCAGCCCTGCTAACTAGAACTAACCTACTTTCTGTTTCTATGGATTTACCAATTTGGGGCATTTCTTACATATAGAATCATACACTATGTGATCTTTTGTATCCAGCTTCTTCGCTTAGCATAATGGTTTTGAGGTTCATCCATGTTGTAGTATATATCAGTACTTCTTTTTAATGGCTAAATAATATTCCAGTGTCTTATATGAATACCACATTTTTGTTTTTCCATGCATCCATTGATGGGCACTTGAGTTCTTTCCATTGGCTGTTATGAACAATACTGGTATAAACATTTGTGTAAAATTATTTATTTGAATAACTGTTTTCAATTCTTTGGGAATATATACCTAGGAGTTCAATTGCTGGGTCATATGGTAATTCTGTGCCTAACTTTTTGAGCTGAACTGTTTTCCACAGCAGCTGTACCATTTACATTCCTGTCAACACTGAATATTTATGCTGAGATCCTGAACTGATTCTGGGGCTTCCAGATTAAATTCTGAATAACCAGTAACCTTTTTGGTTAGATAATACTAGCAAATATTGTGTTATAAACTTTTTCAGAGGAATCTATGAAACTGGTTTTCTTTCCACCCCTACCCCACCTGGAGACAGGGTCTTACTCTGTCACCCAGTCGAGAGTGCAGTGGTTGGGACATAGCTCACTGTAACTTCAGACTCCTGGGTTCAAGTGATCCTCCCACCTCAACCTCCTGAGTAGCTGGGGCTTCACGTACTTGCCACCACATCCAGCTAATTTTTTTATTTTTTGCAAATACAGGGTCTTGCTATGTTGCCCAGGATGGTCTTGAACTCCTGGCCTCTAGTGATCCTCTTCTTTTGGGCTACCAAAGTGCTGGGTTTACAGGCGTTGAGCCACCCCGTCCAGCCAGAAACAGTTTCAGTTTTTGCATTTGTGTTTCGGTATTCATGATTTGTTGTGCCAGTGATCTTTCGGTATCTGAACAAAAATTTTAAGAACAATGTTTAAGGAGTGCTTTCTTACTTCAATTATTGTACCTTACTCCTTTCTTGTTTTATCTTTTTATCTAACATGTAAGCAACACTTGAAATATTTAGATGATTTAGGAATCAAAGAGCTACAGATCTACAAGTAGATTATTTAGAGTTGGAGAATATTTCTGTGTAGCCATTGTCAAAATGTTATTATTTGATTGACAGTAATTTTGCTGTATAAGGAAGTGAGTTATGTCCTCCCTGTTTCAAGTTGAGTACATCTTTTGCGATATTTTCAGTTATGCAGAACCTAAAGTTTTGGCAGCTTAATCTTCCTTTTGTTGTTCATTGTTAATGTTTCCTAGTCACCTAATATACTGAACTGCTTTTTCCATGATAAATTACATTTTGACTAATTTAAGTATAGTTTATTAATTTGTCATACAATGTGATAGATCGCTCTTTGTGCCTACCAAACTGCTATCCACTCTTCCCTCCAACTTTCTTCCTATTGGAAAGAGTTCAGATTTTGTTCTTGTGATTTTTTTTTTTTTTCTTTCATGTGCTCTGGGAAGGTGAGCTTCCTCCGCCCCAATGTCTAAATAATAATTTCTTTCAGAGAGTTAATCCTATTCCCCATTCCAGTGATTGGTTTAAGCTGAAGAGAGCTTCTATGGTTTAAAACACAGACCAATTTATTCTTTCATACAGTAAAGCAGTCCCACAGATAGGTATTCTCAGGTGGAATTAGGACCTTAGATTTCTTTTACATTTTCCTTCTTCACTATCCTGGAATGAGACTTTGTTTCTCAAGGTGACTTCGTGGTCCAAAATGGCTGTCACTATGTCCAAAAGGAAAAAATGATCAGAAAGGCCAGAAGAGTTAATTTTCTGGCTGAGTCAGCTCTCTTTAGAGCATTTTCTCTCAGAGGTCCCACATGACACTCTTGCTGACATCTCATTGGCTGTGCCTCATTAATATGGCCATACCTGGTTACAAGGGAAGGCAGGAAATGTAGTACTTAGTTGAGTGCATTCCTTTCTGGAATAAAGCTGAGCAAGAAAGGAAGAATTAGCAGTGGGAAGCAGTGACCAGTCTCTGCCACAGCTACGGTTGTCAAAGTTTGACCGCTGTTGAGAGTTCATTAGCAGCTTTATAAGAGAACATTTCATTCAAAATCTAAACAATAATATGCACTGAGTCAAACTTGTTTTCAAGTCATATCGAATCTCATTTTCTTTCACATTGATTTGTTTACGCAATTCAACTCATCATCTCTGGACAGTGAGAGCCAACTAAGATCACAGCTTAGTGCTTTTAACATATTGACTGCCACACTAGAAAGAAATATTTTTTCCTTGGGGCCACAGTGTTTTATTATGAAAAAAGAATAAAAACTTCCATCCTTTCTAATTTAATGAAAAATTTGTTACTTTTAATTGTTCTCTGTGAGTTATATGCAACTTGAAAACAGTTCAGGAGGCTCCCAAGGTCTTAGAGACCTGTGAGTTAAATATGTTTCTCAAGGCCCCAGGCTCAAAACTAGCGTGAGTTAAATGCAACTCACATGGTAGTCCTTGTGGTGGTGGGTTGTTAGTAAAAGTCCTGTTTGATACTCAGTGAAGCTACTTCATGGGAAAAATCAACTTTCTCAAAGACATTTGTAATAAACCCAGACCCTTATGAGTCCTCCATGTGACTTATGCTACTCTGCTGATAAATCTCCTTTGATTGATAACCCTTCTCTCTTTAGCAGCTATCTGTGGCCTACTTTGTAATAGCCAGGTCCTTTTGTCTGAATCTTCACAACCTTTAACCCTGCTCTCCACCTTCCTTACTAAACCATTGCATTATAACACAGCCAAACTCACCATCTATCTCATTTTTATTCCAATTGTTTTTCATCATTACTTGCTATTTTCTACTCTCAAGATCCTACTCATTTTTTGCTGTGGTCCCCAACCCCCAGGCTCTGCTGCCACCCCTCCCCCACACACCCCCGGCCAACCATCTATGGAAAAATTGTCTTCCGTGATTCCTTGAAGCTGGTCTCTGGTGCCAAAAAGGTTGGGGACCACTGCTTTATTGGATTCAAGCTCAAAGCTCATTTATTATGCATTTATCTCTGCTCTATCTGATCTACATGTCTTTTAGAACAGTATCAACTATATTGCATAATGAACTCTATGTGTCAGACACCTTTGTAAGGGTCTTAATGTTTTCATTCATTTCCTCATAACAATTATATGAAGGAAATGCTATTGTTATACTCATTTTAGAGATGAAGAACTGAGGTATAGTGGTTTTCCTAAGGCCTGATCCAGGATTCTGATCTAGGCCGTCTGGCTCCAGACTTCATTTATGCTGTAGCATCTAATATTCTTACTTGTATTTTAGTTGTGTATAATTTATCTATCCCACTTACCCATCCACATCTGTTTTGGACATTTCATTTCTTTTTCATTGTTTGATTCTTCCATAGGATCTAGCAAAATACTTGTTTTACAAAACAAGCATCACACTCTGCAGATACTATTAACCAAGGAATTAAATCTCAGCCAAGGTTTGTTGGACTTTTTTTTTTTTTTAACTAGACAGCAATATGTGTAATTTTTCCAATAAACTTCCAAAATAAGGATAAATGTTTTCCTTTAAAAGAAAAAAACTTGTTGGCCAAGGAATTTGTACAAATGAGGTGTGAAAATGGACAAAGAAATTTTTTCCCCAGTGCCAGAAATCTGAGTGTAGAAGTGTGATAAGGTAAAACTTGTTTTTGGTTTTTAAGTCTCTACATAGCAGAGAAATGTATATAGTTTGTTTGGTTTTAAGGGAGAATAGCCATACCCCAGTAAAACTTGGTGTGGGCAGTCAAATGGTCTTGGTTGGAGTTATCTTGACACAAGATAACATGATTTTGTCTGTTATACAATATCATGATGAGTAAAAGATAAGTTATAAAGTTAGTCACTTTCTCAGGACCTTTTATTGAGTCAGTTGTAGAGATAAAAATAACTCTTAGGTCTCAAGGCTATGTCTCAGTAGTGAGTCCCCTTAATGTAGTCCTGTACTATGGTATTAGAACTTTTAACCACATGCTTTTAAGTAAGTCAAGCTAACACACACAAAGTAATCATTATGATAAAAGTTTCTTTGGGGCTTATTTGTTGATGATAATGAAACTGGCAATACTATCATATGTTTGATTCTATTCCTGCATCAAAAACAAGACCATGTGTCTTCCAGGCAGATGGTACAAGTATAGAATTGACTGTTAGTTTTTGAATAATAGATGTTTTGTTAGTAAATCATGCTGTAGAAAGCAACTTAGATTTTATGATTTTTTTCAGACTGAAAATTAATCTATACACAAAGTATGTCACATTATTATTTAAAAATATATATTCACATAACTATATATATATAGTTTTTTTGGTTTTTTTAATTTTTTTTTTTATTTCGGCATATTATGGGGGTACAGATTTTAAAGTTTCAATAAATGCCCCATTTCCCCCCCTTCCCCCAAAAGTCTGAGTCTCCATCATGACCATCCCCTAGATGGTGCACATCTCACTCATTATGTATGTATATACCCGCCCCCCTCCCCCCTCCCACCTGCCCAATACCCTATTAGTGTAGTACCTATGTGTCCACTTAGGTTATATATAGTTTTTCTCAATTTTTAAAAAATTTATTCAAAGAATTATGTTTAGGATTTAGATAAGGAAACTAGAGCTAAATTTATATTTGTTTTTTAACCCGTACAGCTTTGGTTGTTTATTTCATATTCATAATTTCATATTTATGAGTATGTTCTTGAGTCTGAATTTATTGTGCTAGGATTTGAAAATTATCTCTCATAAAGCACAAGTATATTAGTTACCACTGCACATTTAAGGACAATATCAGTATATTTAAGTCTTTTTTATTCATTTATTTGTTTTTTTTTTGAGACAGAGTCTCACTCTATCGCCTAGGCTAGAGTGTTGTGTCATCAGCCTAGCTCATAGCAACCTCAAAATCCGGGGCTCTGGCGATCCTCCTGCCTCAGCCTCCCAGGTAGCTGGGACTACGGGGCATGCACCACTATGTGCAGCTAATTTTTTCTGTTTTTATTAGAGACGGAGTCTTATTCTTGCTCAGGCTGGTCTCGAACTCCTGACCTCAAGCAATCCTCCCACGTAAGCTTCCCAGAGTGCTAGGATTACAGGCGTGAGCCACGGTACCCAGCCCCCTATCTTTAAGTCTTCATACTACATTGGTCACATATATACTCTTTGGAAATTTTTTGAGAACTGTAATGGTTAAGGTGAAAATGTAGTTAAAAGATTTCAGAGACTACTAAAAGATTCACCACTCTGAATCCATTCTTTTTTTCCATCAAGGGAAATTGCCTTCAAGTACCCAAAGATAGAGAGTTTAAATATGCCAAAGGAGCTATAAATATAACCACACATTTCTCCTGTAGCTCAGAAGTTGAAATGCCATATGATAACAAGGGCACAGGGAAGGGGGATGATCAGTTTTAATGCTTAACATCATTGCTGCCTTTCAGATCTTCTCTCTCACTTCTGTTTGTTTTGCATTTGGTTGTATGAGTGAACTGATTAGAGTTAGTCCAGGTTCCATGAGTATATATCATCTATTTATTGTGCAGAATAGTTTATATGCACTCATCCCTATTGGCAGATTCTTTGAGATAGAGTATGTATGCCTCTAAATTTTGTTGGTCATGTTGGTTGTTCCCTGATACATACTCCTGGAACTCCCTGAGTGATGGGGATTGGGGAAGAGCTCTCTGAGAAGTAACAATTGAGCTGGACCCAAATCATGTAAATTGGTGAGAATGCAAGTCACGATAGAGTTCAGCAGGAAGCAGTTGTGACTACTAATCTCACATAAAAAGTAGGAAGGATTTAGAAAGGTCTGAAAGAAGTAAAGGGACTACAAAAATATCTAAGTCAGTGTCTTACTGAACTGCCTTTAGGAGGCCCAGCTTGTTCATTGATGACCTGAGAACTTGACATTCTCAAATTAAATGATTCCAAATCCTGTTAAAAAGCAAATATATTTTAGTATTTGCCACTCCCTAGGGAGGAAAATTCTAGTGTATGAATGGCTTTTTTCATTATAATTGGTCTCTTCCTGAGCCGGTATTTATGGATTAATTCGATTCTTAAATCACTCAACTCTTCCAATTACTTTTTCTAAGAGTTTGCTGTGTAGTAAAATTTTAGCTCTAAAAGCACACTAAGATAATTGAATCGTCTTGAATATTTCTCAGGTAGTTAAGTTGAAAATATCAGAACTGTTGTGTCACTGTCAAATGAGTATGACTAACATAATGTTTAGAAGAATTTGTTGGCCCAGCACTCACATTGGTTGTCTTCCCTGGTGGCGTGGAGTTTATTCCTGTACTAGACTTTGGTTGACATAATGGTTACCTACACAGTAAATTCATGGGATATTTGGAACATACCTCAGGTTATCATTTGCTGTGAGTGTTTAACATCTGTTGTGAGTTGATTTAGTCCTTACCTGATTACGAGCTTTTAATAGAAGATAATATGGGTATGAGAGAGAAAGACACCATATTTTGAAATTGTGAGTATTTTAAATTTACTTTTGTAATTACTGTTACTTTGGTTTTTCTTTCTTTAAATCATGAGGACATGGTATATGATATGCCTAGATAAATGAATTCAGAAATTTGGGGAAAAGGAGGCTATCGTTATTCTTACCTTTGTCTTTCTGTAAACTTGGGGTTTAATATCCAGTGTGGTCTTCTCATTGTATTTTCTGGACTGAAAGATTTGTATTAAATGACCTAGGAGGTAAAATGAGTATTCAACTGATGAAACATTTGCATGCTTCATGTTGTACAGCACTATAGGTACCATAGAGAGAAGAGATTGGTAGGAGATCTGTTCCTTACCCATTAAAAGAACTTCTATTTCCATTTTCTGCAGGTAAGGGAAAATGAAAAGAAAAAAAAAAAGAATTTCTATTTTGAGTATTAGTAATAAGTAAATGGATACCAAATTGTGGATCCAGTTGGGTGCTGGATATTGAGTTGTTTGGGCATAAGCCTGTTCTACAGAGTGAGTCCTGGAGAACTGGGTCACATAATTCATGGTCAGTGGTGGCACTTGCAAGAAGAGAGACTGGTCAAGAGTTAAATGCTACTGAGAAGTAGCGTAAGGACTGGAAATTATAGATACTACAACTAGATCTGCGGTCATGATCACAAATATGTCTGAGGAATGTGCTGAAACACATTATTTGGTGGGGAATACTTAGGAGGTCCTCACTGGACATTCTCTGTGACTTTTTAATGAAGCATGGTTCCTGCCCTATAGTATAGAGATAATGTGAAAAGAGAATCAGGATTAATTGAGATTTAGGATTCTCCACTGATTTAAAGAAGTTTATTAGCTCTGACAAAGTAGTTGGGGCATCAGCTTCCTTTCCTAAAATGTGGTTTGGGCAGAAGCGAGAAAGCTACACTTACCATTGCCACCATTTGGGAAAAGCTGGGCAGAATCTTAACAAGGCACTTGTGAGAATCTCCCTATTTATATTTTTTTCCTTAAATGAATAGTTTCTCTGTTAGTTTGGCATCTTAATATAGATATGAAATTTCGATTACATCTTAAATTCATGCTTTTATAACTGCTGCCACCTCTAACTGAACTCTCATCTTGAAAACAATCCGGTCAGCTGTCACTTACTTTGTTAACCCTTTTCCAGATTCCCTCTGGGCATTTAGCCATTTCCTCTTCTGTGCTCTGCAAATCAGGTTATGTTATAATGATCTGTTTACAGCTTTCTCTCTCCTATTAAACTGTCAGTTCAGGCTGTTATGCCCTTCAAAGGAGGGACCTTATCTCATTCCCTCTTCTATGACAGTGTTTTCCCTGTGCTAGTCCTTCTGCGACCGGTGGTAGGTGGTGAAGAGGCCAAAGCCTGACAGGTGCTAGAGAAACTGTTCAGGCTGCTGGTAACTTCATAATCCAAACACTGGGTTGACTTGTTACTTCTCGGTATCTCTGACAAGCTTCCAGAGTCTCTGAACAGATCTCTGCTGCTTCATTTGATTATTTTTCTCCTGGCAGCCATATGCAGAACCACCATGCCACTGTGTGATTATGCAAACATATTGTGCTTCAGTTTTATTACAAAAATGTCTGCCTCCAGATGGGGTGATTTTATATCATATACAACAATGAATGCAACTAAACCGGCCCTGCTAGAATCGAATAATATAAAATTCCTTCTTAGTAAGATTTTAGAGATGTTCTAGAGGTAGTAGTGAGAACAGTGAAGGCTTTATTATATAATAGAAGGTTGAATTGGTTTGGGGGTAAGGACAATAAGCTCGCTACATTTTAACCTTCATGTATTCTGTTTGTAGGTTATGATTTATGTCATTTAAAGGGGGCTGTCCTTTGCTTTTAGAACTGTGGAAAAAAACGTTAACTTCATTGACTTCTTTTTGATGTTTCTGAGAATGGGTTTGTTTTCTTTTTTAGTGTGAGAAATTTAAACTGAACATATTTGAGACTAGCAAAACCTTCGTTTTGAAAAAAAAATGGGAAAGATCATGAATCACTACTTTTCTAAAACATATGCAAACCCTTCTGGTTACAGCAAACTGTGTTGGCTTGCTTATCTGTATTTCAAACTACATGATGAAACAATTTTGTTTTCTCAACTTGAGATGCTATTTTTAATTTTTGTTACAGCAGTTTCATATGAAAGGAATGTTTTAGCACCATTTACGTTACAGGCTAGGTTTAGTTATAAGACAACTCAGATTCAGGTAGCTAAAAAATTTTTATGTCATTAGCATTCTAATAAGATATTTACAATATGTTCTGTAAAATGGTTTGTCCACGCTCTGTTACGAATCACCATTTTGGGTAAAGGGCATGAACTGTGGAAGAAATAAAGTCAGCCATTAAATGTGAGTTAGCATTTAATTAAATACTTATTATGTGGTAAGCACTCTTCTAATTGGTGTACATGGTTTTTCTCATAAGGTCTCACAGAAATCTCATGAGGATTAAATTATTATCTTTCTTTTCCATATAAAGAAACAGAGGCTAAGTAACTTGCCTGTGGTCGCAGAATGGTTGAGTTGGGCTTGAACTTGGATCATCTGACTCCAGAGTTGATGTGCTTTTAACCATTAAGTTGGACTGCCTCCCATGTAAATAGACATATAAAGAAAAGTTTAACGTCACCCAAAATTAAAACACATGTGCGAGGCCAGTTGCGGTGGCTCATGCCGGTAATCCTAGCACTCTGGGAGGCCAAGATGGGAGGATCGCTCAAGGTCAGGAGTTTGAAACCAGCTGAGCAAGTGCGAGACCCCGTCTGTACTAAAAATAGAAAAAATTAGCCAGTCAACTAAAAATGAAACGAAAAATTAGCCGAGCGTGGTGGTGCATGCCTGTAGTCCCAGCTACTTGGGAGGCTGAGGCAGGAGAATCACTTGTGCCCAGGAGTTTGAGGTTGCTGTGAGCTGGGCTGACGCCACGGGCAACGCAGTGAGACACTGTCTCCAAAAAAAAAAAAAATGCGCACACATATACACACACACACAATTGGAACTGTGTAACTTTCTATTAGATTTGCAAAGAAGAAAAATAATCATTGGTATTCAGTATGAGCAAAGACATGGTGAAAGGAGAAATCGAATGCACTGAGGTGTGAATATAAATTGTTACATGGGTTTAGATAATTGGAATGAGCAATCATCAAAAAAAGGAAAGTTAGGAATATAATTACTGACATGGAAAGATGTCCATGGCATTTATTGAGTGAAAAAAAACAGGCTGCAAAGCAACATGCATAGTTTGAGTATGTTTATGTATATGAACTCTGGCCTAAAAAGATGTTCATCGAAATGTTAACAGCTGGTTATCTCTTCTACTAGTTAGTATAACGTAGTAATCAAATGTCTGAGCAGTGGAAACACTACCTGGGTTTGAATCCTGTTTGATCACTTGCTAGCATTGTGACTATGAGCAAGTTACTTAACTACTCTGTGCCTCAGTTTCTTCAGGAAAATGAAGATAACTTTAGAAGCTATCTTGCTGGGTTATGAGAGACTCAGATGAGTTTGTAAAGTGATCAGTAAATCCGAGCAGCTATCATCATTTTCTGGGTTTGAGACAAGTATGTATGCATCATCTTTGAAACTAACAAAAAAAAAAAAATGTGTTTAAAGGAGTCATTTTAGTTGGCATGCTTACAATTTTAACAGGAAATACCCATTTATTTACAGCTAAGTATATTAGAATTCTCACTAAACGTTTTCTTCAAAAGCTATTTGCAACCATATATCTTGGTGTTTTTTTTAACCCTTATGCTATATGCTAATTTTAAGGGGATGGAAATCCTATTTTACTCTTATGGCTCGAAGGCATGCATAATCACAACAGATTCTTCCTGGAGGAGCTGCCTCCATCGCAGCTGCAATGACATGTTAGAATGTGACGTCAGTGTGGTGTCAGACTTCCAGAGTGGCAGGCCAGCCCGACTGCCACAGTGTATTTCCTTAGTGCTTGGTCCCCACAGTGCTCATTGGGAGCAGCTCAAAGACAAAGGAGTTGAGACTTATTTTTATTCCAGTGTTCTTTTTGCCTGTAGTTGACTGTCTTTTTTAAGAATGTGATTTTGATGAAGACCGGTGAGTAATTCTTGTTACTTTTGTGTATTAATAATAAATAGCTAATGACTAAATGAGCAGCAGTCCATTTTCTCAGTTAATGGTCTGTGTTAAATAATCTTTGTAGCCCTGGTGCCAGGCATGGTACCTACATATTATAAGTATAAGATTTACATATTATAAGTATTTTCCATAGATGAATTATTGTTGTAGAAATGTAAATATATTCATTAGGTTTTCAAATGCTTGAACATTTTAAGATGTAAGGATTGAAAATGTCTTCCTCTTAGTCTCCCCTTAACTTTAACATGCATGAATACATAGCAGTCACAAATTGCTTTAAAGCCTACAGATTGTATTTAAAATCTTAAAGTACCTTGTTTGTTTATTTTTTAACTTGCTCAGAGGAGAAGCTTGATATTTTCCCCCACTTACAGGGAATTAGAGGAATAATTCCTCAGATGTTTCTGTGGAGATACTAACAATTTTAATATAATAATGCTTTTTAAAAGTATATTAATACCGTCTAAACTAATTAACAATTAGTTGAAGCTGCTGCTATTTGTTTAATTCTTTAGTTATTTGGGCTGTTTCAGTGATGTGATTCATAGTAGGAATCCTTACTGATGTAAAATTTAAGAGCAATATAATAGCAGGAAATTATATGTGATAGACAGTGTTTTAGCATTTGAAGGAATTAAGAAATTTCTTAATTTTTTAAGCAATTAAGAATACTACTGCCATTGAGTTTTTTAGAGGCTGGGGGATATGCCTTTTAAAGATTTATTATTAACATTATCGATTCATATTTTTTTGAATTACACTACATAAATTGATTTAGTTGTTTTGAAAGCATTTTTTCAAGAAGTAAGTTGTATTGGGTAAGTTTTTTTGTTTTGCTTTTAGGCGTAGCTAAATAATTTGTTTTTAGGTGTAGCTAAATATTTTGCTTATAACTTCTTTTAATCCATTTTGTATGGGCGGATGATATTATTATAACTTTGTATAGTACAAACTAAAGTCTACAAAGTCTGTTTTTATCCAGGTTCAGTAATAGCCTTCTAATTTCAAGGGCTTTAAAAAATTTTTCAAACAAAGTTTTCTCTTAAAGAATAGGTACTTTGTATTTTTTAAGTCTAGTTGAGGAAAAG